ACCCCTGCCACTGCAGCCCCTGCAGCCCCTTCCCGACGCCGGGGCCTGGAATGCAGTGAGTGCAAAAAACTGTTCAGCACAGAGACATCGCTGCAGGTGCACCGGCGCATCCACACGGGCGAGCGGCCATACCCATGTCCAGACTGTGGCAAGGCCTTCCGACAGAGTACCCACCTGAAAGACCACCGGCGCCTACACACAGGTGAACGGCCCTTTGCCTGTGAGGTGTGCGGCAAGGCCTTTGCCATCTCCATGCGCCTGGCAGAACATCGCCGCATCCACACAGGTGAACGACCCTACTCCTGTTCTGACTGTGGCAAAAGCTACCGCTCCTTTTCCAACCTCTGGAAGCACCGCAAGACCCATCAGCAGCAGCATCAGGCAGCTGTGCGGCAGCAGCTGGCAGAGGCAGAGGCTGCCGTCGGCCTGGCTGTGATGGAGACTGCAGTAGAGGCTCTGCCTCTGGTGGAGGCTATTGAGATCTACCCTCTGGCTGAGGCTGAGGGGGTCCAGATCAGTGGCTGATTCTGCCCCATTTCCCTCTTCACCACCATGCCCTGCTGCTGAAGGCCTTCTTCCTGCATCCCCTTCAACCTCTGTACATACTGTACCCCTTCCTCTTCCCTTCCCCACTGCCACGTAAGTTCTGTAACTGGATTTATTCTCTTATGAGGGGGTGTTCTGGGGTCCTTGATATGCATAAAAGTGACCCCCTTCCACCTGTTAGTATTGGTGGCCCCAAAGTGAAACAGTTAATAAAAGACTAAGTTGAACATTTATGTGCTTTTGTACAGCCCAGTTGTTTGGCATGGAATTTGGGAGTCATGAGGCCGGGTACTGGATCTTACTTCTCATGGCTGCATTCTCAGCACCCAAAACAAGGCTTGGCAGGTAGTAGTAGCTCAGTAAATAATTTGAGGTGTTGAAGGACCTGGAGTCCCTGGGCATGTCTCTTAGAGCAAGGATGTTCCTCTGGTGCTAGGCGGAACAGCATGGTCTCTTGCCACTAGAGGTCCCCATAGCCCCATGGAAGAGCTCCAAGCTATTTGTACTGGCAATAGTAACATTTAGACATTTTCAAATTGTTACCCCCCCTTCCCCCACTTGTAGTCAGATGTGGGCTATATCCCCTGAGGCCATTTGATTGTCTCACTGGATCATCAGGGTCAAACATAGGTTGGGCATGATCTCTAGGGCAGTAGAAGAGAATAGTTTCTGAGGCTTGGCCCCGCTATTGAGTCAGAAGATTCTGATAATGTGCAGCAGGTGTAGGAAATCTCATAAGGAGAGGTGCCTTGTAGTCCCCTGAAGGTGGACTTCTTCCACTTCCTCCAATAGATTTTTGTTGTGAGGAGAGAGATTATTGTGGTCACTGGTCAATGTTTGAAAATGTAGTTTATCTCAAATACTTTCCTACATTATATTGGATAGGATTCACACTGATTCTGTGAGGACATTTTGTAGAGAAGGAGTCTGAAGTTAAAAGCATTGAGGTGACGCCCAAGGTCAGTTCAACCCTGTAAGGCAGAGCTTGACTCGGAGCCTGGTTTTACCACCCACACGCTTTCCCCTCCTTCTGCCACCTTCTGTGTATTTTAGGTAGGGTAGTGGAGGAGGAGACCAAGAGTGTGATGGTAAGAATGCTTAGCTGCTGGCTAGCTTTTCCTCTAAACCTCCCCTCTCTTAAGATCACTCCAAATCCTTCTCTGGAAAAGAACACATTAAGGGACCAGCAGTTGGTGTAATGACTATGTCACTGAACTCCCATGTAGTCGACTGCGGTTCAAGTCCCTGACCTAGTGACTTAAACTCACACTGGGCGCGTGTGTGTGCGTGCCCAAGATCCTGAGAGGAGAACGGAGGAGAAGGGATTGTGGCGTGGCCATCCCCCCTGCAGGGGATTTCTCGCTTTCTCTCTTTCTGGTGAGCACACATGCCCTATAGTAAAAAACCTCTCCAAAACAAAAACAGACTCAAAGCCCTGATAAATGAGAGGTGAAAGGGAAGCTACTTGTATTGAAAACTTGGGGAAAGGGAGGCCTGAGAGATGCCCTTTTGGCCTTCCCTTTATTCCTCACTCCCTTCAGCCAGCCTTTGGTCCTCTGGGTACTAAGTCTCTAGGATATTGTTTGAAAATCACTGGTTTAATCTGTTGCTCAGTTGAGAAGAGTCAGGTCTCCTAATGCTGACTTTACTGCATTAGTGTTGTTTTTTTTTTTTAATTATGTTTAAATGTTCAATTTTAGTTTTTTTTTAAGAATTATTTTATTATTTTAATTTGACCAGACACACACACACACACACACACACACACACACAGCAAGTGAGAAAGCAAGCTCCCAGATCCAGGACTCATACTGTGGTCAGCCATGTGGGGGTGTCCAGCACCTTAACCACCACGCCACCTGCTGGTCTCCAATTTTATTATTATTTTTAAGTTTTGCTATAGGGCACATGCACTCACCAGAGAGAAACGGAAAGTGAAAAAGCAAGCCGCCATGTCCAGGACTTGAACCATGGTTGTCCACGTGGGAATCTAGTGCCGTAAAGACCATATCACCTGCTGGCCCTACATTATGTTTCTTTTAATCTTTAAAAAGAAAAAGCACTCACCCACTTGATGTCCTAACATTGTACCTGTTAAGAGTAATTCTCTCTTAAGCAGTTATTTCCTACCAGGATGTGTTGATCACAGGCACCATCTTTCAGTAACTGCATACCCTGTGGAAAGGACTTGAGCCATCTTAGCCCAGCACGCTGAGTCCCTCTAATCCCCATTTAAAGCCATTCCCAAACTGCCCCTCTTAAGAAGAGCTATAACATCCTGAAGGTCATATCAAATGAGTGCTTAGAACAATTGTATTCATCCTTGCGAAATTAGGTAAAAACCAGGCTAGGAATGGAGGATAGTGCACTGGTTGACCACAAAATAAAAATGGTCTCGAGAAAAGGACGGCTCTATGACAGTGGGGTGATCATCCTGCTTTGTGTTTTGGAGCATCTGATAAAAGCTTTAGACTCCTACCCTGAGAAAAGTGCAGTGTGTGTACAAACACACTTATGAACAAGTTCAAGGGACTCGCTGTTCATCATCATCATGCTGAGATTTCCTCTATGGTCTTTCTTTTTCTTGAGAGGTTTTTGTTAGAGGGCGCATGCGCTCACCAGAAAGAGACAGAAAGCGAGAAATCACCCCCCAGGGGGGATGGCCATGCCGATCCCTTCTCCTCCATTCTCCTCTTGGGATCCTGGGCATGCACACACACGCGCCTGGCGTGAGTTTAAGCCACCGGGTCCGGGACTCCAACCGCGGTCGACCACATGGGAGTCCAGCAACATAGCCATTATGCTAACTGCTGGTCCCAAGATTTCCATAGTCTTCAGCTGAACCATGTCTGAAAAAAAGGTAGATAACACTGATCACTTGTTGGATGCTGGTGTTTGAGTTGGACAGGCAAAGGTTCTCAAACTTTACTAGGTATCAAGCAATTCCCTCTGAGATTGGGATCCAGCAAGCAGATTGAGTGAGGTAACAGGACTGCACACACCAGTTCTAATGATGGTGGCTCATGGGCCCTTCTAGTAAGAGGCTTGCTGCCCGTTTTTAGTTGGAAGTCAGGCAGGCCAAACAGTCAAGGGGACAGAACACTGGTCCTCTAGTATCCAGTATGTACTTGACAGGAGTGTGATTATAGAAGGCAGGCCATTTGACACACGTGGGCACATTTCATGGGGCTGCAGGTGAAAGTGCAGCTGAGGCTTCAGGACAAGCAGTGAGCTCCAGTGCTTCCAGATGTGCCGTCTGCTTGTCACAGGATGAGGAAGGTGTTTCGGATCCAAACCATCCTGAAGGCAGGGTGTCCAGGAGGACAACATGACCATACTTAATATACTTCTCTGAAGCTCCATCCCTGCTAACTTGAGAATTAGAGAGGTGCTTTTATTTTTCTTTCACTCTTGCCGAAGTGATGCTGTGCTAAATTAACTTCATCTCACTAAATTATCAAACTCTCCCACTCTTTTCCTTTCTCCTGTCCCCTCAACACCCCAGCCTTCACTATCAGGCTTGGAGGATCCCAGCACCTACATGTTGGGCATACTTCAAAAGATGGAACAGCTACAAGGAAGCCCAATGACTTTTCGGTATATTTTTGCGAGAAAGCCCAGTGGTATTAACGTTTTGGATTTTTGGGGCTGAGGTGTTAGGGATCAGCCCATGGCCTGGACTGTGAAGCTATTGTTCCTGTCAAGTGACTTAGTCAAGGTGGGCACAATATTTGAGTAAACGAGTTAGTTACTGTTGCTCTAAAAGGAAAGGGAGAGTGTGTACATTATACCACCAACAGCTTCAAAATCAACTCTGGCTTGAAGGGTCTTTGGGGAAGTCATGAGGGATGAAGGTGAGGGGCTAGCTTCCTGGCTTTCTCGTTTTTTGAAGACTGTGCTGGAGATCTGTCCTTAGCACTTTCAACCTTTTTTTTTTTTTTCTTTTTTCCTTTGCATGAACACTTGCTGGAGACAGAGAGAGGGAGGGAAAGTGAGAAAGCACGCCCTCACACAACTCCAGGGGATAGCCACACTGCTATCCCTTCTCCATTCTCCTCTCAGGATTTTGGGCACACATACACCACACCCAGCATGTTTTTGGGGTTTGTTTTGTTTTTGTTTTCAGGTTTTTGCCATAGGGTGAGTACACTCACCACAAGACAGAGAGAGACAATGAGAGGGAAGGTGAGAAATCACCCCTAGAGGGTATGGTCACGCTGCGATCCCTTCTCTTTTGGTCTCCTGGGATTTGGGGCACACATGCACATGTACCCAGTGCAATTTTTAAGCCACCAAGGTTCGAGACTTGAACCATGGTTGACCATGTGGATTCCCAGCATGTGTTGTATTTTTTTTACTTTTTAGGATTTTTTGATTTTTGTTTTGTTTTGTTTTTGCTATAGGAATGTGCTTTCCAGAGAGACAGAAAGTGAGAAATTGCCCCCCAAGGGTGCAATCACTTCTTTCCCATTCTCCTCTCAGGATTTTGGGCACACAAACACACCTGGTGTGAGTTTTAAGCCACCTGGACTGGGAATTGAACCGCGGTTGACTACATGGGAGTCTGGCAATGTAACCATTATGCTATCTGCTGGTCCCGCCCAGCATTTTTTGAGTTGCCAGGTCCAGGATTCAAACCATGTAGTCAGCCATGTGGGATCAAACCACCTTAACAACCATGCCACCTACTGGACTCCTCACTTAATTCTTACAACCCCATAAATTAGGTATTGTTTTTGTTTCCAGATAAGGACACATGCTCACATATTATGAAGGTCACATATCTATCAAACTGAGATTCAAATTCAGGAATTTGAATTCATCTTAAGTTCCAAGACTTGATTTTCTGGTTGATAAAAAAAAAAAAAAATCACTCAGGGGGGCCAGCAGTTAGTCTAATGGCTATGTCGCTGAGCTCCCATGTAATTGACTGCAGTTCAAGTCCCGGACCCGGTGACTTATATTCATGTCGGGCATGTGTGCAGGCATGACCAAGATCCCGAGAGGAGAATGGAGGAGAAGGGATTGTGGCATGGCCATCCCTCCTGGGGGGTGATTTCTCACTTTCTATCTCTCTGTCTCTCTCTGTCTTTCTGGTGAGCGCACATACCCAATAGCAAAAATCCCCCCCAAAAAAATAATCATTCAGGGGGCCAGCAGGTAGCTTGGTGGTTAAGGATGCTGGACTCCCACATGGGCAACTGTGGTTCGAGTCCCGGACCTGGCGGCTTTC